CTCTCTCTCTCTCTCTCTCTCTCTCTCTCTCTCTGGTCTTAGCTCTTAGTCTCATTGATTTGGCTACCTTAGGGCTGCGTTTCCCGCGCCCACGCGGTAGACAATACCTGCTACAGCAGGTGGGCGATACCGGCCAGGGGTCAGCCGGTAGCATCAGGGCTGAGCTTCTTCCATGGGCCAGTCACTGTACCTTCCCTCAGGTAGTGGTCCCCACCCCCTATCAGCAATCTCTGCTCAATGGCACTCTGGGGGACCAATGACATATCTCTAGGCAGCGGGCGCCAAGCTCGTTTGTGCACATTTCGACCGTAGTGGAGCGAGGCCCATTTTTCCTGATCTTGGTTTGCTGATCTCGCAAGGTAGGTAGACACGTAGGCTTCCTCATCGCGATTGGTGGTGAACGCAGAGGGGTGGAGGTCGTCCCATAATAATCTGTTTTCTGGACTTTCTCATTTTAATCTAGTTTGCGGGGACAAGGTCCCACTTGCGCAAATTAGGAGATTTCGGCCGTTGATCTTTGCTATCTACGGTCAGTATCTCTTAATTCGTGCAAGTGGGACCTATCCCCGGAGTTTCCCATTTTAATCTGTTTTCAACTTTTCTGCAGTTTTCCATTTTTCGCCTACCCTACTCACTGGAAGACGTTATGGGTATGGCCTCCACATGTCACGGATGGTGGAAAACGATAACGAATTCTCCACTAGAACATGAGAAGATACCCGCCATGGTTTTTGTCGTTTGTGCTTACAGTGAGTAGTGGAGCGAGGCCCTATGACCGATCGCCTCGCGTTTGGATCACGAAGCTATGACGGTGAAGAAGGAGAAAAGAGAAAAGAGAAAAGAGAAGAGAGAGCTCCGGCGTTTGTTCTTTAAGGGTCTCGCTCCACTACTGTCCACTGTACAAAAACGGACAGTCGTACTTTGCTCCACTTACTGTCCACTGTACATGTGCAAAATGGCTTGGACAGTTTTTAGAAACCCCGTCGAAATTCTACTGTCCGTGAATGTACAGCTCCCAGCCTGCAAAATTCGTTCATTGGAAAGTCCTTCAAGGGACTCACCGTGAGGACCCGAATTTGGACAGTGCACCTGGAGTTTGGGCGGACAAAACCCTATGGATGTCCTGTCTTGTAGTGCTATCACTGTGTCTGGTAGTGAAGCCACGAATTTCAGAGGTGGACAGCGGACAGTAAGTGGAGCGATCTCGCATTTTCCACTGTCCGCTATACAATTTTTCGCTCTGACAAACTGTCCACCAACTGTCTGAAAAATTGTACAGTGGACAGTAGTGGAGCGAGACCCTAAATCTTTCCTGCAAAGTAGGCAGTGTCAATGTCAACTCCCGACTACCGTCTTCCCCCGAATATAACGCACCCTAAAAATGAATGTATACAGGCGATATCTCCGGCCAGATACAACCAAAATAAGGGTGCGTTGTGTTCGGGGGAAGAGGGCAGCTTGTACCCCCTGCCAAAAATTGATACGCACTACGGCGTAGACGGGTCTCGCGCCGCCACATTATTTTCCTTACTCGTCGTTAGTTCGCAGCCCGGGGTGTGTTTTATGCCCTGGGAACATTACATTTTTTATGCCCTGGGAACATTTTTCGTCGTCGTCACCAAACGGTGCGGTAGTTGGAAGGGTGGTGTATTTGCTGGGGGTCCAATTCGTGGGAAATAGGYAGTTCAAGGAAGTGCAGGACCGGTAGCTGCCCGYRRCATTAGGGCCTTGAAATTTCGAATCTGAAACGGCGTGGACGCAGGCCCTGTGGTGAGTTAGGGCGGGTTTTTAGGGGGGGCGCCGACTGGAAGGCGCAGGCGGGTCCAATCTTGCAATTTTTGAGCGCCAACTTTGGCGATTTTTCGTACGCAGAATAATTGGAGAAAAGATCTGAAAATTTGATATCGGGTAGACCAGGTCGTGATCTGTCCAGGAAAAATATCAACAAAATAAAATAAAATCGTTTAGACCATGAAATAAATGCCGTGCCAATTCGTCACTTTTTCCATTTTTGGCACAAGACAACTTGTGGGCCAATGGGAAAAGTACCCCTATTTCAAAGATTTTTCACGCTCAGAAGAACTCGTAAACAAGTCTGAAAATTTGAGAGTCCGTAGATTTGGTCATGATCTTTTCAGGAAAAATATTTAAAAAAACTAAAAAAATTGTCTCAACTGCGAAATAGCTTATAGCGCAAATTCATCCCATTTTCCATATTCACCACTCTGCCGGTTCTCCACTCTGTGCTACTGGTAGTCCTCATGGACCTGTGTTACCGGTCCCCCGAATTTCCAACGTCGGGTAGAGTGGTGGTTTGAATTCGAAGCCTGTCGTGGTCGAAATAGAAACAGGCCAAAAGCAGCGGCCGCCGCTCCCGTTCCCTCTGCGTTGACAAAGTGATAGTCTCCCTGAGCGTGGTGCCTTATCGATCAAGGCGTTTTGACAAAGTGGCGCCGCGCCTGATCTCTCTCTCTCTCTCTCTCTCTCTCTCTCTCTCTCTCTCTCTCACACACACACACACACACACACACACACACACACACACACGTCCAACATCAACAAACAAACTACGGGCTGCGCACGCAGCTGGCCATATTCTAGCGGGAAGTTCATTCTGATTTTGCACATTTCGAGAGTGGTGTGGAGAGGCCCTTATAGACGTCCTCAGTTTTTTTTTTCCTTTTTTGGCGATCCTGCTGGGGATTCTGGGTTCTCCCCAGCAGACGTCCTCAGTTTCGCACGTTCCGTGAGCAGTCCTTGTGTCACAAGTTCGGTGCGGCTGGGTATGCTCTCAGAGAGAGCATACTCACACAAGGACCTTTTCGACTGACCCCTGGACCTAATCGCGGTCACATTCATCCAGGTGACGCTGGCATCTAGGGAGGTCCTTGTCTCAGTATGCCCTACGAGTAGTGCGTCGGTACACTACCGCACCTCTGAGCTTAGAGGGCTGAACCAGTTTGAGCGGATAGATCGTCGGCCATCAAGAAGATGCATGATCTTGACGGCTTTTTTTTTTTTTTTTTTTTTTTTTTTTTTTTTCAATCCAGGCGACGCCCTTGAGATATTATCATTGAGCTGACCGGCCCCAAGCAATTCGTCAGGAGTTGGTTTTACTCGTCAAGTTCCATCATCTGGATTTGGACTTAAAGGGGTCTGTATTTCAATAGTTCATGGGTGTGGTCCCCACTGAGCTAGGCTCTTGGGTTCAAAAACAGTCTCGGACTTGCCCTGCGCGGTGTTTCTAGAATCACATGTGGAAAGCCAGGTGGTAGAGAATGATCAGTGCTGTGCACCCGTCAGTCATCTGGCTTTCAGGGGACTATGTTCAAATTGGGACTCGACCAGTATTAGTACATTACACGAGCAGTTTTCCGAATGAATCTGGCCGCAATTACGGTCCGTCGTGGATGCATCTCACGGCAATCAGGTCCAGAGCTCAGTCAAAAATGTCTTTCGCGCATATCCCCCCTCCGTGACGCCCGCCGCTTCTACGCCAGTTCTGCGGAACCATCCCCAAACGTGTTTGGTCTTTCTGCTTTCTCCACGTCTCTTCCCTTTCTTCTCATTCTCGTCGGATCCTCTTCTTCTCGTTCGCTAACTACATCGCAATGAGACACTTCTGACTCGGATAAGAAGCTGATATCGGCCGATGATGACCGTCTGTCTCCCGACCGTGTGAAGTGCACACTCTGCGGGGTCCCGATCGATCCCGGCTTGAAGCTGCGAAAGCCAGAAACTACACTACACACGCGATCCCAATCAATCCACTTTCTGCGGGGTTCCGATCGATCCCGGCTTGAAGCTGCGAATGCTGTTTGATTGGTTAGCGTGAGGTTAGGTGTTTGATCAGTGGAGATGTGAGTCGAGGTGCGCAAGTGTGTGTGAGCAACTAGATTAACTCCATTCTGTTTTTCTGTGCTATTGAATGTCTCCTATCCTATCTTTTCTCATCTACTGATTGATTGACTGACTGATTGATTGATCGATTGAATGATTGATTGATTGGTTGGTCTAATCGACACTAAAAGAAACGGGGGCCCTCGGTTTCCTCCCGCCCTTTTATCTTCTCTCGCATTCCATTTCTCGTTCCTACATTACATTCTCCCTTCTTTTGTTGCTGTTTTTATGATCTCTTTCCCTTACGGTTTCTCTCCTTTTCCTTTCTCTATCCATTTCTACTTCTATTGCCACGTTGGCATTTATCTTCCAATCTATTTCTCACATTCCTCTTTATCCTTTCCTCATTTATCTTCTCCCTCCTCTGTCCTCCGACGTTGTACATTGGCCAGCAAAGGACATCGTCGAGGTGGGGTGATTAGCGCGGCGGCAGATAGTGTCCCTGCTGGAAGGTGAGAGTCGGTAAGGGCTGACGTCACGCTAATCATCGAGGTGGGGTGATTAGCGAGGCGGCGGAGGCGGAGGCGGAGGGAAGTTGCAGGGGGAATAGCAGTGCTTGTGTCCTGCGAGTCCTGCTTGCTTGTCGAGGGGGAAGCAGCTCAGTCGCAGCAGTTGGGAAGGAAAAAGGGCGGGAGTCGGAATCGAGCGGGCGGGAAAGGGCGGGAGTCGGAAGCGAGCGGGCGGGAAAGGGCGGGAGTTGAAGCGAGCGGCATGGGCGATGGCTCGCCGATGTCTTCCGGTGAGGTTGCCGCGGCCCTTGGGGTAATGAAGGGTGTTAGAGCAGCAGCAGCAGGAGATCCGTCGGGAGCATCGTTATTGGCCAATAAGAAGGGGCAGGAAGTCGAGGAGGGGGATTACGTCGTGAAATTGGGGGTGCCGTTCACAGCTTCGTCACACAGGAGCGGCGGCGGCGGCGGCGGCGGGGGCGGGGGCGGTGAGGGAGGCACGAACGGGATCGCGATTATCGCGAAAATCGTAGGGCGGATACTTTCTATCTTGCGCTGGGAGGGCAAGGTAGGCGCAATGAGAAGGAATCGGAAGAAGCAACCCTTGGGCGCGACTTCGTCGTCGATTTCGCCGAGGTTCTTGAACCTGGGCACGTTGGCGCTCATCTACGTGGTTGTGGATTATTGGCGGGAAACTGGTACGTGGCTGTCTCCCCATGCAGCTGATGCCATTCAGACCTTGTTATGGACCGGGTTGGCCGCCGCTGCCATGATTCAAGCTCTCCACTACAAGCACTTCACGCCGGAGATCGTCTTGATACCTCGATTCCTAGGGAGCATCCTTTTCATGCTGACAGCTCTCGCGATTGAGGCCGTCTTCGTTCATCACGTAACTGCCGGATTAGGGCTAACGTGGCACCAATCCACGCCGCCTCTGCCCGATTACGGAGAGCTCCTCCTCCTTTGGTCTAACGATTACTTTCCCGAGTGGCTGATCGCGCTCCTCCGGGCTCCGGTGATCGGTCTCCATCACTTTCTCATGCTCTTTCTCATGCTTGCGTTCTCTGTCATCTTCGGATGTATTCGCCCTGCTGGCGTGGGGTTGGGATCGCGATACATGACCGCCATGGGACTAGGTCGATTGCTTCGGGTTCTCGTGTTCGCCGGAACGACAGTGCCCTCCCCTAGGCCGTGGTGCGCCGAGACCCGCTTCCCCTACCTGCCTGCCCACCCTCAACCCTTCATTCGCGAGTTCTATACGCCCTACGTGCGCGGTGCTGAGTCCTACACGAACACTGACACGCTGAGTAGGTACAGGCTGCTGAAGCTGATGCTGGCGACCGACTCGCACACGGCGCGGGAGACTTGGTGGCATGGCCAGCGATACCCCGACGAATACCGCCCTGATTGGGGTGTGTTCCAGCCCTTGGCCTATTTGTTAAGGCCATGGGACCCCTCTATGACGGGTGGAACGGGGGGTCAGGCCTATGATTGGCTGTCGATCCTCCGGAGAGCCGGCGGCGGATGCAACGATCTGTTTTACAGCGGCCATGTTCTCGTCGCCACATTAACTGCCATGGCCTATCAAGATGCTTACCCCGGATGGACCTCGTGGATGGTATGGGCCCTGCTGGGCCAGTCCGCTCTGCGCGAGATTCGCGAAAGGCATCATTACACCGCTGACGTGGTGGTGGGATTGTTTGTCGGCGTGGCTTTGTGGCGCTTGACGAAGCGCTTCGGATGGTGCACGGAGGAGGAAGACTATGAAGACGAGGCCAGGTCTAGAAGAGATGCTCTCATCCTGAGAGCAGCGAAAGATGGAGATATGGGACGGGTCATCGACTTGCTAACTGAGAAAGAGGGGGTCAACGAAGGTGATGCTGGTAGTTGGAGGGGGGGGGGGAGGAGAAGAGAGAAACAGCCCCCCCCCGAGGTCAAACCTTGGCATCGTACGGCAGGTATCGCGCTTGTTGCCGGTGCTCTCATCTTCGCCATTGGTGTCGTACTATGTTGTACTGGAGGTTGAGTATTCGTTGTTACAGTAATTGATTTATGATGAATTAGTGAATTATTAGTGAATTGATTGCGAGGAGGAAGAAGATGTCCGTGAATAATTAGGGGAGCAAAATCATTGAATGTCGTCTCGTAAGACAAAGGGGGGGAAGGGGGGGAAGGGGAGAGGAGGAAGAAGATGTCCGTGAATAATTGGGAGCAAAATCAGTGAATGTCGTCACGTAAGGCAAAGCCATTGATCGCCTGATCTTGTAAAAACCGCTTGGTGGGAAGGACGTGGGCGGCTATGGGAGGGGGGAGGGCGGGAGGGAGAAGTAGCCTTGCCATGGAACTGTTAGAGACACACAGAGAGAGAGAGAGAGAGAGAGAGAGAGAGAGAGAGAGAGAGAGAAGAGAGAGAGTCTGTTGTGTAGCTTTTCAGGAGTTAATTTTGGGATTCCTGCCCTGTTGGGCTCGTTTCCATCGCTTGACCGGAGGTAAGAAGTTTTTTGGAGTTCGTCCATTCATCATGAAGCGAGTAGGGAGGAGGAGGGTGAAACGTGGGAGAGCGGGCGAGTGTTTTCACATTCCCCAACGAGGGGGAGGGAAGAGGGAGTGTTTTCACATTCCCCAACGAGGGGGAGGGAAGAGGGAGTGTTTTCACATTCCCCAACGAGGGCGAGTGTTTTCGCCGACTCTCTCGTCAGCGGTGGTGGTGGATCGCTCGCGCATTCCTTGTTTGTCATTTTTCGTTCGTGTGCGTGCTGTTCTCTTTTTATTTTTATTTTTCTTAAAGGATAGGTACATTCCCCAACGAGGGGGAGGGAAGAGGGAGTAGGGAGTAGGGAAGAGGGACGAGGGAGGAGGAACTGAACGTGCGGAGGTCGTTGGGTCGCACGTCAACGTCTTCGTGCGGAGATCTAGTCTTGTCATCGTCGAGAGAGGGGGATACAGTTTACAGGATATAGAGGAGGAGATCGCTGTGAAATGCTTTGTGTTTTGTGTTTTTTGTGTTTTTTTTTTGTGTGTTTCGTCTTTTGGCTGGCTCTCTTCTGCCACGTGGCGGCCTTCTGTCATGCGTCGAAGATATTGGACGGCAGGCTTCTGCCTACGGGTCGGAGACTTCTGCCACCTGTCGCTCTTCCTGTTGTGGATTGGCGGTATCCGACGGGAGGCTGTGCATGTGCACGGCGGACAGACGTAATGCAGAGTGTGAACGCTTGAGCATTGTATTGCTTCGGTGATAAATTATATTATATTGAGTAGAGAAGAATGTCGTTTACTGTATTTTGTTCAGATGGGTACGCCACCAAGTGCCCAACCTCAGTTGGTACACCAAGGGCCCAACCTCAGTTGGCGCACCACTAAATTGTTGAAATACAGACCAAGTTCGGACCTTGACAAGATCAGAAGATGGGTACGCCGTTAGCTGTGCTGTTATGGGTACGCCGTTAGCTGTGCTTCACCGTCAGGTGTGCTGCTAGGGTTGGTACGGCGTTAGTTGCGCTGTGTCATGGTTGGTGGGCCGTTGGCTGTGCTGCTCTACGGATCTCACCGCATTAGAGTGGACGTGGCATTGGCATAATAGCGAACAGAGGAGGAACCCTCCGTCGTTGCATTGCCACGTGGCATTGGATGCCACTTCGAATAATGAAACAGAAATGAAGGGTTCGTTATACGTTAAGCTGCGCTGCCGCGGGTCAACGCTTTGTCCCAGCAGACGGCACCGATCAGACGGCGCATCATCGGGATATCGAGCAGACGAAGCATCGGGATACCGACAGACGAAGCATGGGGATACCGATCAGACGAACGCTTCGCGTCGCCACGTAGGATTGGACGGTGCGTCACGTGACCGCCGATGATGACACGCGCTGTGTTGGGCTGGGTCGGGATCTGCCTGCCTGGGTGGGTGGGCACTCGTTGACGGTTCAATAAAAGGAAGGAAGTCGGGTTGGCATTCTGGATAGGAGGGCCATCATGTCTGCATGTCGGGATCGGATACACGTGGATTGGGATCGAATGCCACGTGGATGGGCATTGAAAGCCACGTGGATTGGAGGGATCGATGCCACGTGGATTCGGATCGAAAGCCAAGTGCATCGGGATCGATGCCACGTGAGTCGGGAGCAGAAGGCACGTGAATTGTTATCAAAAGCCACGTGGATTAGGAACGAATACCACGTGGAACTTTTTTTTTTTTTGACGTTTGTGTTAGTTACGGAATTGTTGCGCTGTACGATTGATTGGTTGATCAGCGGAGAAAATAGTTTTTTTGAGTATTTTTTTTTCCCGTAATACAGCGTTTCTATTTTCATGTTAGTTCGTTGACTTGTGACAAGAGGACCGGCTTGGCTCTTGGCTCTCCTCAAATTTTGAAATGGTCAGGAAGTTGATTTCGTGGCCTGCGCAGGTGCGTTTTGTTACTGTTGTGGAGTGTGGGCGCGGGAAAGGGGGGGGAGGGGAGACCGTGCGGGGGCGCAGGGGCGGGGTTAGTACAATAAAAGCAACCGTCGATCGCTGAAATAGGTGACAGTTATGAAGATGAAGGAAGAGGACGAGAGGTATCAAGAAGGTAATAATGGCAGATTGTTGAACTTGATGACCATTGTGTCAGATGGGGAAGTAGAGGAGGAGGTGGGATGAAGAAAGGTGCGGTAAGAAGCGGGAGAGGAGCCCGCAGAGGAGAGGGGAGGGGAACTTGCAGTCTGCATGAGCAGTTAGTACGCGCGAAGACGTTTTTTCACTGAGGTTGTCCTTAGTGTCTTTGTATAGCGGGGAGCGGGGGACATACCTGTGTGATCCTTAGTGTAATACAAAAGAACGGCTGTAGTTGTTGTACCAAACAGGGTATCGGAGGATAATGGAGAAGGTAGATGTTGTAGGGGTTGTTGCACGGAAGGGGGGGAAAGGGGAGAGGAGGGAGAAGGGCGTTGATGATCAACGGATCAATCCTCCTCCTCTGGTAGGGCAGTGCAAAAACTGAGAGGAGGGGAGGGGAGAGGAACAGATGGGAGAAAGTGGGGGGAAATGCCGAATAAGAGAGACGGAGCAGGGGAGGGGAGGGGAGGGGAGAGGAGGTGCAAGCAGATGGTCAGGTCTGTGTGTGTGTGTGTGTGTGTGTGTGAGAGAGAGAGAGAGAGAGAGAGAGAGAGAGAGAGAGGTGGTTCTGGAAATGGGACGCAGAGGGGGGAATAGTGAGGACGGTTTTCGTATATTGGAAGGTCAGATGACAACGGAGGGAGAGGGAAAGAAACGGCGGTCGTAGGCGGAAATGAGGGCATACTCACACTGGGACCATTTCAACTTCTCTGTGAACGTAATTGCGGTCAGGTGCATCCAGGACTGGTTAGAAAAGCAGTCATATCCATCCACAGTACTCCCTGAGAGGGATTAGCATTCATCGTTGTGTGATAAAGGTCGAGAACTAGAGGGTCGGTGCTTCAATTTGTAGTGAAACCACTTTGATGAACAAGTCTTCTCGAACGAGCGAGCGAGCGAGCGAGCGAGAGAGAGAGAGAGAGAGAGAGAGAGAGAGAGAGAGAGAGGAATGTGCACTTTTACGATTTCACGAAGGGGAGAGAGGTGGCTGCTGCCCATGT